TACACAAACACAAACGTGCACACGCGTGTACACACACATGTGCACACATTCCTCATGATTTAAATAAGCTATGAGAGTTTGAATAATCAATTCCAGGGAATGCAGTCAGCAAATAGTCATGTGTTTGGCTCAAATTTGGCTCTAATGATATATAACACCTACTTTGAATATTCTAAAATAGTCTTCATTCAGTGTTTCATCACCTCTCAAATACTTACAATTAATATTCATACCAGGTTAATTTTCAGCATCTATCTGGGTCCCTTTATTCATTTTAAATATAGCAAACAGCACCAATGAAATTGACATTATACTAAACAAAGTATATTGTTGATTATGATAGTGGCAAAATGTGGGATTTTTTTTGAAAAATAGTAAAACCAGTATGATTGGCTTTAAAATTGATCAGTGCATCAGAGTGCTTTCATTTGCTTAGCTGAAAGGTCTTAATTGTCTTTCTCATTCTCTTGCTTTCTACTGTGATACTCAGGCAGAATGAAGCACACCAAAGACAATTCTAGTCTTTCACTTGCCTGAGATACTGTCCAGTGCTTTTGAAGAAGAAGTATTTGTTTCCTGAACAAAGCTGATTAATCTTTGTCCCACAGGGATAATTAAATATATGATGACATTTACAGAAAGATATTCTGCATATGATAACTCACAATGCCATAAAATTAGAAACAACACAAATTTTCCTCCAGAGATTTACTAAAGAAAGCTGAATTTCAAAAACAAAGATTATATAGCCTTTAAAATAAAGATAGAAAAGACAGTCATGATAACAGACCACAAAAACCCACTTGTAGTGTTCTACTCTGTAAAATTGCACAAATGCATGTTATGTTCATAAAGGTTATGTGAAGAATAATGTTTGGAAGATTGCTCAAAATGTTAACAGGGATTATGATAAGTTAACGGGTTTAAGCATGGCTTTATTTTTACTTGGTTCAGGTGATTATTAAGCAGAAACATCACTATACTTGGTTCTTTGCCTATTATAAACAGGCATTTAATTTATACAAGAATCTTGCATGATAATAACAAGTGTTGTTTTACAAACATAAGGGTAAGCAATCCAAAAATAATAGGTCTTTAAAAACTGACCTTTTTCTTCAAAAATACTGTACTGACAATGATTCATATGTGTATATCTATCTAGCTTTGTTAAACTGCTTAGCAATGTAATAAAGGCACATTTGTTCATGAATATGTATGAGATTAGCTGATTTATTAAGATATATAAGCTATAAGGAATAATTTTCCAAGTTGTTAAAGATTATTGTTTAACTCTGCCGTATTGGGTTTCATGGGACATTATTTGGTTTTGTACCACTTCACAATTTCTGCCAACTTCAGTCAATCTGTCTGATGCTTGAGATCCTATCATTCCCCCTGCAGCTCTGTGGAATATCATGTAGGGATGTGCACACTCAGTATCCTTCCAAAGCTCACATGTGAGACTTCATTCAGCTCCTTCTCTTTATTTTTTGTCAACTGTCTCCAGTGGTGGCATTTGCATTTTTGGCTCCTTTCCCATTGCAGCAGCTAAACACTGTCTTCTGGCTGGCTGAAGGACCCTCTTCTTTCTCAGGATGGCCATTGCTCTAGGAGGCTGAGGCTGACTGACTCCGAGGCAGCTATTCCATGCAAGTCTGTGGCCTCCTGTGACCTCTGCCCTCCCGCTCTGCAGGAGCTCAGGGCAGCATAGCTGCAGAGGCTGTGTCTGGCTGAGCTTGGCTTCCCCACTCCCTCGGTAATAAACCTCTCCTCCAGCATGGTGTCTTGGGCTTCTCTCACAACATCTTGCCCATGTCAGAACTGGCTTCATGCCTCTTCTTGAAATGTGACACTGTCTCTTGTGACCTTTTTCCTTTGGAGTTGTCTGGCTCAACTCTTTGTTTTGAAAAGAGAGCTATCCACACGGCATCACACAGGCAGTTGCTTTGGGAAGGAAAGCACCAGCCACCATTCAGGCTGTAAGTTTAGGGTGTTAGCCAGGTAGGCAGCAAGGCCAGATCTTCATACTGACCTCTTGTACTTCCAGGATCTGAGCTGCTACAGAGGAAGGTGAATTCGGATGTTGTCACACCACAGTAATCAGTTTTAACAAGTTCAAGGTTGTGAACTTCCCTGGGCATCCAAAAGAGTATGCCTGAAGAGCAGCGGTAGCGGTGCAGGTGTGCGATCTGTGTGTGTGATGTGTCATGCTGGATGGGGCTTCGAGTTGGAGCTATCTGCTTTGATCCTGGGCTCGCTTGCTTCTCTATGATATATTAGTGGTGCTGTTGCTGTGAGAGAGCTGTCACCAAACCCTCCGATAATCTGGACTACACCCAGTGTGTGGTAATCATTGTGCATACACACACACGCACACACACACACACAGTTTCTTTTGTTGACTGGGGATTTTAGTGTGCAAAAATTCTTGGCCAGGAGTTTTCCCACAAGACTCAGATTGAATCAGTACTGCCAGCTTTTGGTTCGAGTCCAGCAGATGCTGTATTTCTCAAAGTAGAAGCTGCCTGGATGGTTCCGTCACCTTTCTCTGGTATGTCCCATTGGGACCTCACCCTCGAGGATAGGATGATTTTCTTTCCATTTATCTTAACAATTTTATATTGTTTGAATTATTTATTATGAGGGCCATCTGATCTTTCTTTGTTCAGCATCTATTAGGTTTCGTTTGGAGTTTTGTCATCTGTAATTTCGGAGAAGTGTGAATGTTTTCTCTTCTTTCCCATTTTCCCTTCCCTGCCTTTCTTTTCCCTTCCTTTCACTTATTTTCTCTTCCCTTTCCTTCTTTCTTTCATTTTCTCCCCCTCTTCTTCCTTTAGTTCTTATAGATAATAAGCATAGATTCTGTGGGATTTTTTTAAAGCTATAGCACACCCTTTATATAGAGAGCAATGGGGTACAAACTTAGCAGTCAATTTTATATTGATATCCTTGATTGATAATATTTTCCACCTTACTGAAATGTCATATATTTACTGTGGAAATGGCATGATGGCAATAATGCTTCTTAAGAAACAAGAATCGCCTAAACAAAATGATCCATGAATATTAGTATTCATTTAGACTTAATTTGTATGGACTTCTGTTCAATCTAAGTATCAAATTTAGAGAAACACTCTGAAACAGCGGTTGATTTGCCCTATGACTTTCATGTTTCTAACACATTCCCTTGCCCTGACCATGGTGAAGAGCAGTCAGTGAGTACAATATGGTGGGAGGTGAGCTAGTGATACCAACACACTAGTCCATTTTCTTTTAATTGAGGGAAAATGCACATAGTGACAGATACAGAAAGGAATTATACAATTCAATGGGTTTTGATAGGTGTATGCACTTATAACCTCTATCAAATTGAGATACAGAACACCTTCACTTCCCTAGAGAGTTCCTTTTTTTGCTCCCCACACCCCAGGCAAACCCACACGAGAGGCAGCTGCTGTTCAGATTCCTATCATTTTACTTTAGTTTCTCCTAAATCATATAAATGTGCTTAAATTGTGTACCATTATCTTTCAGCAAAAGTAGTGTCTTCTGAGTTTCACTTTTGTTATACAATGTGTCACATTTTTTATGTTTTAATGGCTGCACAATATTTTACGAATGTGACACAGTTTAACACACGATTTAAAATGCCCTAAACTTAACTTGACAATACTTTTTGTGAATATGTGATGTCCCATCTCTCGTGTAAGTGTTTAGAAGGTAACTGAAAGGTCTTAGGGTAAATGTATATTTTAGCTCAGAAGAACGGTCCAACTTAAAATATCTACTTTTCCCACCTTCTCAACAATTTCATCTGTCATTTTGACGTTAGCTACTCTGATAGGTGTGAAATTATAACTCATGTGATCAGTGTTCCTTTGATGAGCGGCGATCTTAGTCCAGCTAGTTGACAGTATAAACCGCATTTTCTTCACTTCCGCAATGTGTATAAAGAGTGATGCCTCACGATAGCGGAAAACTTGGCTGGGATAATGCATGCGCGCCACCTGATTCCCAGAAGGAGCTTGGAACTGTAGATTAAAGATTACCTCTTCAGACTACACTGCAGATCTGTTATTCTTATTTCCTTTTGTCTGTATTTTCCCTCTGGGTGCAAGCATTTCAGAAAAAGGGGTTTGAGTTTTTTATTCCATTTGCAGTTGCAAAGCCTGGCTTTGCATTGTGTGGCAGTGTTGCCTCTCTGCTTTCTTCATTTGGTGTGTGTTCACTTTTAGAAACTCCGTAGCATCGAGGCAGCTTACTTGGGCAGCACTTTCAACCTTTTTGGTACAGGGCTTTTGTTTTGTTTTGCTTTCATCAAGTACTTTTTACTCTACTACCTCTGAAGACAAGCAGTTCGGTGTCTGCCCTTATACTCAAGCTGCACTCCAACTGTGTCTTCTATTAGTTTGCACACTTAGACAGTATAGTCTTTAGGCTTAATCTTTTACCACCCTTGTATTTCAAACAAAAATGTGTGTGTAGGATCACTTCTTTGGTGACAGTGAGGCCAGAGTTTTTCCAGCTACTGTTTAGACAGTATAGTCTTTAGGCTTAATCTTTTACCACCCTTGTATTTCAAACAAAAATGTGTGTGTGTAGGATCACTTCTTTGGTGACAGTGAGGCCAGAGTTTTTCCAGCTACTGTCTCGCATTTTGGGGCACTGTGTGTTGTGAATTTAGAAATGAGTAGCTCTTTCTCTTCACTTGGAAATCGAAGTACCCATGAGTCATTTATTGATGCAGGTCTTCCTTTGTAAGTACAGCTGTAGGTAGAAATACTACCTGATGAGAAGGGCAGAGATTAGTATAGGAGCAGGAAGAAGGAAGTGATGAGGAAAGCCACGGGAGGGACTTCTGTGTAGAGGGATGAAATGATGACAGAGGGGAAAACTCGCTCACCTCAAGGGGCACAAGAAAAGGGGCTGGGAATTGTTTCGTGAGAATATACAGCAGGGCGTGGCATCCTTCTTAATGATACCTTGAACTTTTCCTCTAGTGACACAAGACTTCTTGGAGCGAATTCAGCCACCCGTGGTGCTTCTTGAATCAAAGGGAAAGGAGAGAATGAAAATGGTAATCGTAGATGAAGCACAGTCTAGAATTGCAGCTGTAAGTCCTCGCCTGAAATCACTTGTTCTTCAGTTTACTTGCTATGTGATCTCAAAGCTGCCCTCTGAAAGATTTCCTCACTGAATATTGATTGAGAGATTTTTGTGTTCATTTTTCTTTTGGTACCGGGGTTCAAACTCTGGACCTTGCGCTTGCGAGGCAAGCAGCACCACTGAGCTAAATCCCCGGCCCTCTCACTGAATATTGAAAACCAGGATAGTTTCAACCCTCCTGGCTTGTTCTGCTGAATAGAGAAAATAGTGCGTATAAATCGCTTAGAACATGACTTAGAACATAATACTGTATGGTTTTAATGTGTTTGAAGACCTATTCTGCCCTCAGTATTAGGCTAAGCCTTTTCAGACATTGTTTTATTTATTTTTCCAATCTGGAGAGTTGATTTTACTGTTCTTAGCTTGCATATGAAAAACTGAAGGATCAAAGAAATTAAGCAATTTTTCTGAGTCCAAAGTTTGGTAAGTATGTTTTTGCCACCATATTCTAGATTGCACCAAATAGAGACTAAGTCCCTACTTTACTGTTTATTACTATAACTCTGCCTATTGAGTAGATAGCATCATATTAATGGCTTAGCTGAAAATTTTTAATAAAGGAAAAAGAATTAAGGGAAGTGTGCTAAAGGGGTTAGATACAGTTAAGTATATCTCTACACTATATAGTCTATCTATCCATTATCTTTCTGTCTTACTAACTAAATAGGACCATCTATAGCTGCCATAAAATACTATAGGGTATACAAAAAGAGGAAGCTGAACAATCTGTTTATTGCTAAATTATCTAATGTACTTATTTAATTATCCTTACCCTTAATATGAATGAGAAATAAAAAGGATCCAAAAATATTATACACTTATCTTTTCATATATATACATGTGTATTCATAACATTCAGAATAGTTTATTTTCTCTACCTGTGAATGTGCTTGTTGATGAAAACAAGATTATTAATGTGGTTTCTGATCCCTTTAAAATGTTCAAAGTCATAAGAGACCTCATGGTGAGAACATACCAGGTAAACTTCAAAAACACATCAGAAGTACCATGATGCAAGTAAAAATAAATAAAAAAAAAATTTCTGAAACAAGATAAATACATTCTAGAGAGGAGATCTATGGCTACTTTCATCCCTGGAGACCTAGAAGGAGAGGGCATTATCCCAAGGAGAATCCATTCAAATATTTAATGTATTTATAGATTTTCTTACTCTTAAACTTGTAAATTTTTTAAATTTTAGAATACATCATATTTATTTCATTTTAAAAAATATAGTACATGATTCCCTTTTACCTTCTACATTTACCTGACTGTTAACATCTCTGTATATAGTATTTATCACATATAAGATGTTAACTGTATTATAATTTCAATAATTATTTCCCTTTTTTCCTGTTCTCCCCTAGAACACTACATTATATTGTATTAAGTTATCACAGATTTCAGCCATTTTCTTGCTGAGACAATTTCTTGCCCTTTTCCTTTTTTTTTTGAATAGGACCTTGGCAGTTTTCAAGAGAAGTGGCCACGTACTTCAGGGAATACTCCTCATCTTCAGTTTCTCTGTGGTTGTCTTCATAGTTTAAGTGGGGACATAGATTTCTAGGCAAAGATCACAGAGGCGAAAGTACCATTCTTATCGGATCACAGCAAGGATACCTGTTATCAACACTTATCAAGAATGGTGTTGACCTTGGTCACTTGGTCAGGACAGCATGTGCCAGTTCCTCAACTCTAAAATTGTCCTTCCCTTTCTATTCATTAGTTTTTAGAAGTGAATCACTAGGTGCAGTGCTCATTGCTGACAGGGTGGAGTGAGAATGTAATCTTCACTGACAGGTGAGAACATAATCTAAATAAATTCTGGGGAATTGTTACACATAAGATACATACGACTTCTTCCACATTGGTTTCCTTATTTTTCATTTGTTTATATCTGGATCACTTCTTGGGTATTTAGTTTGTATTCTGTTCCAGGAATACACTGTTCAGTTTTGTGCCCACTGTTTTGTGGGTTCCGTAGGGGGCTATTCCAGGTTTTCTCCTTAATTCTTTCACTTGACTACATCCTTTGTTTCTAGGTCACTTCTTTTCTCTCTGGCGTTTTACTTTGGAACAAGACTTATGAAAGAATGATAAAATATTGTACCATTTCGTGACATATTTCTCCAGATTCCCCCTTTTGTTAACATCCTAAAAAGTAGAGTTTCAAAATTAAGATATTGATATTGGTACTATTAACTAACCTGCAAACTCTGTGGCGATTTCCCAGGTTTTCCGCTAATGTTCTCCTGCTTCAAAATCTAAACTATTACTTGTATAGACTTTTAAATTTGGTCTCTGGTCTGCTCACTCTCTTCCTGTGTCGATTTTCCTCTTTGTTTTCCATGATCCCAGCACTGTAGAAGACCAATGACCATGAATTCTGTAGTGCCTATCAAATACGGCTTGGCTGATATTTTCTCATCGTGAGATTGAGGTTATGAATATGGAAGAGAAATTCTACCTTTGAAGCCTCCTCAAAGCTCCTAGTGACAAGTGCTGAACATTGTTAAAAACTTGAAAGATGGGGAATACGATGTCAAAAACTGCCTCTGAGTGAGGATTGGAAATGCGTGCTGTGGCTGGGAGGAAAGCTCAGTGGAAAGGTTCATGGTTAGTGTGTGCAAGGGCTTGGGTTCATTCCCAAGGTCCCCAGCACAAAAAAATAAAAGAGGAAAAGATAGAAAGAGAGGAGGGGGGAGAAAGAAAGTGAGAGAGAGAAAAAGAGAAAGAGCAAGGGGAGAAAAGGCCATAAGTTGTCAAATCAGTAATTTTCAGCAAAATTTGTTGCCAATCCACATCACCGAGAAATCTGTTATTCAGTAATTAATACGCAGAGAAAAAATCCACAGCAATTTGGAATCTTCCTCTACCTAACTGAATCAGACAAGTTTTCTCCAGTGTTGTGCTATACTTTACACCCATTGTTCCTTCCATTGAGATTCCCCTTCAGAACTTTCTCTGTATTGATATTTGCTGATTCTGCGTCCTCATTGCCCAGAACTGTGTATAAATTAAATTATAAGCATTTCTATATGGCAATATCTTTGAGAAGGTCTCTTGCTACAGATGACTTTCTAATATTTCATCTAAGCACAGTCTACTAAAGCTCTAATACAGTTTCTGCCAGTAAGTGAATATCTAATAGAAAAATGTAATCATTGTGAAAAGTCATGATGAATAGTCTTTGAAAAGGAGCACAGCCATTTGCGATTAGTGTTAAGCTTTGGCATTGATATATTGGTGCTGACCTGTATAAAGGTGACATGTTATTCATTTAAAATCCTGTATTTGGGGGTAGAGTATCCAAAACACAGGTCCCAAAATATAACAAAATTCTATCCTTAGCAAATGAGCATCAGTATATTCTGTCCGCGTTTGACGTTTAATTGTTAGCTGCAAATTAGTTTTTTCATAAGTCTGCTATTTTATACTGGCCTGCTTTGGGGACCAACTCAAGGAAGGCCTCTGATTTACATTATCTGCTTTCTTGTACAGCCTCGGCCTTAAGAGGCAGAATCTGCTTATCACTGTAATAGCTGGAAGGTATCGATAGCCCTTCATGTGTGAACACTGTCTTCTCAGGGTCTTCTTTTTCTTTGTCCCTTCTGAGATTATAAATTCTTTCCAGTGTGAAGCAGCCTGAGTTTGCAAGCAAGAAGATAAGGGTGGTATCCAATTGCATCATCAGCTGTTAATGCCTGGCTAAGTTTCCAATGATTTGACTCTGTTCAATTCTGTGCAGAGGGACCTGCAATTACAATGTATCAGTGATCTCAAGTGCTTCGAGCAAGAAGTTCTAATCTTTGAATAAATAACACAAATAACCTTTTGATAACTTTTAGGCGCTGAAAGCTCTAATTTTAAATGCAAAAACAGTGAGCTTTTGGAAAACCCAGTCTCCAGGCCTCGATTATATGCACTGCATTGTTAAGAACCTTACTTTCACGTGTGAAAGTAAGTTCTTAAATCTTCCAAGCTCTCAAGAAACTCAGGCCATGCGTTGGATTTTGATTCATAAAATGAAAGTTCAAAAACTCTTTAAATAAGTGCGATAAAGTGGTACTATCAGGTAGTTTAATGGTTTTATGATTTTTTTCTTTTCTTTTCCTTAACATAGCTACTGTTAGACTGAGCCTCATTGCTTGATTTCCCAGGCAGTGCTCATTTACAAGGTGGTTAGAAGGTTATACATATTTTTTGAGCCAGGTAGCCTGAGCTAAAATGTTATTAATCTCTCTATGCATCTGTGTAAGATAGGGCATGTGCAAAGTAAATCACTTTATCTGCCGAGTGGGATAATGAGGGTCCCTGTGATGGTTAAATGCATTAATATCGGCCCGCCATAGAATGGGATCTCACACCAAGTTCTTTATACTAGCTTTCACTAGTACTATTTTCCAGCTGTGATTAACAAACTTTCAGTATTTCCTTTGAGGAAGAGCTCTCGTCCACTGTACACGTCTGGGTTAGACTGCCTGGTGAGGCACCCTTTCCTCCCTGTGTTAAAGGGCTTCAAGGATGCCGCTGCCTGCCTCGCAAGCACAAGGTCCTGAGTTCGATCCCCAGTACAAACTAAAGAAAGAAATAAAGGACTTAAAGGAATGTCTACCTGGGTCCTCTGATTTTCACCCAGGAACATGGGTCTTGGGGAGCTGACTTAGAAGCAGATGGAGCTGATGCATAGCAAGATTGTGCTCCCAAAGCTTCTGTGTTGTCGCTGTTACCTCTGTCTCCACGATCGCCCGCTTCTGTCTTCCTTTTCAGATCTCTCCTCTCCCTGTCCCCACATTTCCCTCCACAGATGACAGTGAAAGGTTCACCTGCTGTTACTGGGACAGGGTCCCTGGAAACCTCATGCCCTGCCTTATTCCTCTGAGTCTTGTTTCCAACCATGTATAATGTCTCCTTTTATCGTGTTGCAATTTAAAAGATGGTCTCGTGCTTTTAGTAGATGTTGGAGTCCAATAGGAACTCTCCTGGCTTGTGATAGATCACCCTAATCTCTAATTTATTTTCTTTTATTCCAGTCTTGTTTTGTGGCTTCCCTTTGATTGGAATTATTTCACCTCTCAATCTTCTACACTTAATATTTTCTTTCTTATCCTAAAAGTACGATTATTGCTTGCTCAATAACTTCAAGCAAAAGAGAAGGGAGATGGTTATAAGTAGACACCCTGAGCATAGTTTATTATCTGTGGCAGTCTCACTAAAGAGAAGATTCAATCTTTGATGGTTTGTAATGTATGGACGTGTGTGTGATTTATTCAATATGTAAAATGTTCACCTGACTAAAATATATTGCATAATTCTACAGTGCTAAACCCTGTGTTAGGTACGATGATGATACAAATGTAGAAAACAGTCCTTGCCAGCAAAGAGCTTTTATTTTACCTTTTCATTAGTATATATTTGTCATAACGGTTAAATCCTTTTTTCATACAGGATTGGTACATACACATATTGTGTCTTTTTTTTTTTTTTACTTCATTTTCCCTTTCCCTCCCTCAGTCTCAGGAAAGATATGTAACTTAAGTGCTGCATGACACAATAGTCTTTACATTAAAAAAGAGACCCGTTAATTTTTTTCCACTTTGTTTCCATGTGTTGCCTAGCATGGCCTTGAACTCCTAGGCCAGTGGTGGTGAACCTTTTAGAACTTTCAGTGCTAAGTAGCCCACTGCAGCACATATGCCGTCAGTTTGCCACCACTATCCTAGGATCGAATGATCCTCCGGCTCGGGTTCCCAAGTAGCTTGGATACAGGTGTTCACCGCCACACAGGCTGGTTTTCCCTTCTGATGTTGGAGTCCCAGTGGCTGTTAGACCGCACACATCATCTTTCTCTTCCCTTACTGATGGCTGTGAGGTCTGCACCAGTGTTTGGTGGAGCACACTTCTAAGTGGGCCTGGATTTGTGGTCTATCTATGCCTGGTCCTGGCCCCTTCCCCTGCTCTGCCTCCTCACTGCCATGAATGAAGTGGCTTTGCTCTGTCGTGTTCTTCCGTGATGATGGAGCCGGACTGTCATGAACTGAAGACCTCTCCTGTATATGTGGGTGTTGGCTGTTGTGGGTATTATGTATCTTTGATGAGAGAGCTAACGAATACACTTACACAGGATGGGATGTGTCCGAGTCTTATGCCCAGAATGTTACACGATAGCTACCTAAAGTAAGAAGACATCAGGAAAGATGTCCTCTAAAATACTCAGGAAGGACTCAGTGATTTCTGAGGACTCTTCCCAGATCTGTTTTGCTCCTCTCTGTACCTTGCTGCTTTGTCTTCTGTAGTGCTGTGGTTAGCAGGCACCTGTCACCTCGCGCAGATGGTTGCTAGTGTTCACTGAATTGTGGGAAAGCAGAATGTGTCCATGGAACTGAGGGATACTTTCTAAGAGGTAAAAGAAGCAAACATCATATGACATAAAATAATAATGACAATAGCACCTTGGTGACAGCTAGCCTTTATAAGGAACCACTGAAAGATGCCATGCTCATTTTTATATTCTCCTATAGGATTTTCTAGGCTTTCACTTCCTTGTGAAATTACTAATGAGGAAAACTGGGGAAAATTGATGTGATTTTTTTTTTCGATACCAGA